CCCCCCCCCCCCCCCCGAAAAAAAAGGCAGTTGAAGCTGCGACAGACTGAGCAGGCCGGAAGTGAATTGAAAATTTCCCAAGTTAATAACTAAAAAAAAAAAAATGATGAAGATATTCTTAGCGTCATTATTTAGGGAACAAATTCGGAACATAAGAAAACAGGAATCAATAAAATGTTTAAAAAAAATTTAAGTCACTAGAAACAATTATTTTCAAAAATTCGTTATAGCTTTACCCCAATGTTTTTCCAAACCGTCTTTGCCCAACACCAAATTAAATTTCCCATATCATAGGCTAAAAGCCCCCCCCCCTCTACAACTGTACCCCTCCTCTGTGGCTCGCAAGCATCACGTTTGGAAACACTGCTGTAACCTCTCTCGTCTGAAAGGTTTTGATCAAAAACATTTTTTTTAACTAAGAAGCCTTTGTCGAAGGCGTATCTTTGCAGTAAACCACAATGCCCGCACTTAACCACAGTACCAGCAGTAAACCACAATACCTGCAGTTATCCACACCACCGGCTGTTAACCACAATACCTGCACTTAACCACAATACCCTCAGTAAACCACAATACGTGCAGTAAACCACTATACATGCAGTAAAACCAACAATACATGCAGTAAACCACGATACCTGCGGTAAACCACAAAACCTTGGCAAATGAGCGGCCGGCTCAACTTTTTAATATAACAGCATTTTCTATTGCAATTTAAACGGCGAAGAGCTACTTTTGACACAGCCTTCAATAAATATCTTGATGAACAATAGGCTTATGAGGGAAACATTCAAACTAATATGTAAGCTGAATGATTCGTTTTGTATACTCCGCTAGTTTAGTACTTAGATAATGTTGTCTTTTTAAAGCTAAATGTAGTTTACAATTTGACATTTAGATATTATGAGGATGGAGAGTTCTGGCACCAGACCACGTATTTAAAAAAAAAATATAAAAAATTCAAGTTTATTTGCAGACATTAGATAAACACTTTAGATGAGAGCATAAGCATTAAACACATCATGTGAAGTATTAACATTAAACACATCATGTGAAAGGATTAGCATTAAACACATCATGTGAAAGGATTAGCATTAAACACATAAGATTAAACTAATAACATTAAAAACATCAGCTCAAAGTATTAACGTTGAACACATCATATGAAAGTATTAGCAATGAACACATCATATGAAAGAAATAACATTTAACACATCATATGAAAGTATTAGCAATAAAAACATCATATGAAAGAAATAACATTTAACACATTATATGAAAGTATTAGCATTAAACACATCATATTAAAGTAATAACATTAACCTAAACACATCACGTGATGGCATTAATATTAAACCCATCCCATCAAAATATTAACCTATGCACCAAATTTGTTTCTCTTCATTTCATCCAAAAGTAAGTATCAATTGGTTAATCCTCCGTCAAGTCACTCTGACCCAAAAGATTGAGCGATCTTGTCAGAGAGTTCTCTTTAGAACGGCAACTCTTGAAACCCCGTATGACATCATCGCTTGTTAGTTTACCAACATTCAGTCACATGAAATGAGAAGTCCCATCACTTACAACATGTGTTGGCCGGACAAAGGCCGAGTACTCAGACGTCAGGCAGGTGGAACATGACGCCTCACATACGAATCTTGGTGGGCCGTCGTTGACATTGTCAACAATTAGCTTGACCAATGTGGTAGCCGTTAGAAATCCGTTGTCCTGTCAATGTATAGATTTATGAATTGAGAACACCTGTCATCTTAGATTCGACCTTCATACGCCTAATGTCCACGATGAAACGAAATAACTTTCAGGCTTTCCCCAATGTTTCCCCAATATTTCCCTAATGTTTCGCCTAATGTCTACGATGAAACGAAATAACTGTTTAAGATTTTTTAAAATATATGTAGATCTGCTTGTAAATGTTGCGACCTCGGTCGCATGTCTGTCAATGTCCCCTTGAATTACGTGCTTCATTCAAGAATATACAGTTGACTTCAATTGACCAATTACTATCAATATTATATAAATGCCAGGCTTTTAGTTCTATCAATTTTCTTGTAAGTGCCATATTTCTAGTTTTTTAGTGATCATGATTCGTTGCTCTCTCCCCCGCCCCCCTTTTTTTTCCGCGCCCTAAGCAAAAAGAAATAGTGAATTTTAAAGCATTCTACCAACTTTACTTTAGGGTTATTTATTCAGACTCTATGCCATTAATTAAATAATGAATAATATATGGGTGATTGCATTCAAGTTCAAGCCGTGTAAAGTGAATGAATAGTGGAACAAGATATGCCTGGGCTTGAAAAGCTTGAAATGAAAAGAACGAACAATTAAAAGGACGTTTCGGCTACACCGCGCTCTTCAGCGGACGATACAAAAAGAAGAAAATCAAATTATTGGAAAGTGGAAAACTTTAAGTGTTCCCAGATCACAATGTAGCTCTTCCAGTCTCTGTATGGAAACCAGCGAACAATGAAGAAACAAACAAGGAAACTTTACTATGACTGTAACATTGAGATAAAGCTCAGTGATCCCCATTTCGTAGTCTATCGGTCTACGAAGTTCTATGACGCAGTCTGTGGTGACTTGGAAGAAATCTGAGGCGGGGCTCTAAGAAAAATGTTGAGAAACACAAAGTTTAAAAAAAAAAATATATTAAAAAAAAATATATTTAAAAAAAATTTAACAATGTTTAAAATAAAAAGTTTTAAACGCCACATTTGTACAGCATGAGAATGAATGGTGAATGGTCAGTGTTTGAAATGTTTCCATGGTCACGTTTTAAAAGAATAAACTAATTTAATTAAAATTTAAAGTGTGGTCAAGTTGATTTGATCAAATATTTTAAGGTTTCCTTTTTCTTTTCCTCAGTCAGATTGACATAAATGGTAAGTAAAAAAAAAAAAAAGGTACCGTAACGGTAATGGTAGAAAACACATTGTGAAAGGTTAGAGTTGACTTGACTCTTGACCGGTGTACACATGACATGAAAGGTTAGAATAGACTTGACTCTTGACCGGTTTACACATGACATGAAAGGTTAGAGTTGACTTGCCTTTTGACCGGTGTACACATGACATGAAAGGTTAGAATAGACTTGACTCTTGACCGGTTTACACATGACATGAAACGTTACAATAGACTCGACTCTTGACCGGTGTACACATGACATGAAACGTTAGAATAGACTTGACTCTTGACCGGTGTACACATGACATGAAACGTTAGAATAGACTTGACTCTTGACCGGTTTACACATGACATGAAACGTTAGAATAGACTTGACTCTTGACCGGTTTACACATGACATGAAACGTTACAATAGACTTGCCTTTTGACCGGTGTACACATTTTCAATGCAACGATTTATATCCGTTGTTTGTATAATGTTGGGAACATCTTCGTCATCAATATACTGTTTTAAATCAATCACTTGCAAACCAATGTTAGTGTTCTGCGATTAGAAAATAATAGGAAATATACAGACTATAAACTATAGTCACTGCATGCTAATGAAAATCGTGTTTCGCTAAAGAAAAGCTGCGGTCGCCAATGAGGACATGAACTTTATAAACAATGAGGAAACAAAATTCTAAATATTTCCATGGTACGAAAATGCACTAATGTACTTAGAAACTCTTATTTCTGCCACCGTGAGCACATCTACTTATTATTATCAAAATAAAACCTATGGTTAAATAACCTGTAATCTTGATTTTGGAAAATCGAACTTTCAGCAATAACAATACGTTTTTAGAAACTATTTTCTATTTTTTTTTTGCGTATTTTTATCTGCCCGGTACGCTGAGGAGGTCTCTTAGCCGAAACGTTCTTATCTTATTTTGTCTTGTCTTTGGATTTAGGCTTCCGCGTACTTTGTCCTACTATTTCCTGCACACAGCTTGAACGCAGTCCTTCATTTATTATCTTTAGTTAAATTAGTCGTCGAGTTTAAATTTAATTTTTGTCCCATAGCTAATGGTAAGACGAAAGAAATGCAGATTTTGCGAACGTAATGTCTCTTTACCTCCTTGACATGGAACGTAAGATTCGTATGAAACTGTGGCATGAACTCACTGACGTGCCTGATCCAGACTGAGCGAAGATGTGTTGCCTGAAACAAGGATCATTACAGGTTTAAAAATTATTAGACAAGTTCTAAGAAATTTTAACGCCAAGGTTCCAACCGAGCGAACCATTAAATAATTTGAAAATTGTATCTTTTATTGTCACTGGTGTTCACTTTTAAGTATACCTTAACTACCGACGCCAAGTAAACTGTCAACTTTGAATGAAGCTGGCACAACACCGAAAAGTGGCAGGGAGCCTCCAAGAGTTACGTGACGGGTCTAAGTAAAGGTTGTTTGCAGTGGATGAGTCAGAATTTTTTTTTTTTAATGGCAGAAACTGACAAGAGTTTATCAACATCAAACGTTGTAACTGGAAGCCGGGCAAAAGGTGACTCAAGCGCAGATAGTCTTAGTACCAAACACTGAAAAAGGCAAGCCTAGAAGGGGAGGCGATCTACGCCGGGCGGATATTTTCTGTATTATGAAGGGGCGGCATTTTTCGGCCAACAATAAGCAGGTTTTTTGTTTTGTTTTTTTGCGTGGAGGCGGCTAATAAAATCTTTGCCTGGCCCGGGGGGCAGCTCTAGCCCTAGCTACGCCTCTCACCTAAAGTAAACGAAGTAGCGTTTTATTTTATCATGATAATTACATGTCTCTGAGAACACACATGGAGGCGTAACACGTAGCGAACGAATTATGCATATGATAAGAGGCTACACAGATTGTACCGTCGCTCCCGTCCTTGTGTCGATACACTGCAGGACCATGTGGATCACTCCAATGACAAGCTTCTGGGGGGAAAAAAATTGGTGAGATCAGTGTTTCAGTAAATCTTGTAACTACGCTTGCATAACACCAGTAGTAAAGGGGTTACACAAAAGGAGCTGTTTACCCATCTGGGGCATCCCCTCACAGGTTTATGTAAACCCCATTGTAACGATGTTAGGAAACAGATTACGTGACAGAAGTTATTGATGGACCAGTGAGTGTCATTTTCACTGTCTCGCTATTTGTATTTGGAATGTAATCAAATTAAATTAAAAATTGATTAAATATATATTTTATAAAAGTTGTTTTCGTGACGAATTTCCTTAGCTTCGGGTGGTTAGGCTTTCGTCTATTGCATATTTCATTACGTGTCCGAATGACGAACATATAATATACATATATTTTTACAATGGATAATACTTTTAAAAAATTTATACTAAAAAAACTTAAAAGTACAATTAGACGTCTATTATTTGTGATGATACATAATTGTTATCCCGAAACTTTGAATTATGTTCTTCCGATGAGCGAATCTGATCACGACACACTCCAAAAAGGTTTTTTTTAGCATCCCCCCCCCCCCCAAACGCCTTGATTATTTTTTATTTTAAAGATTGATGTCTTTTGGTTGCAGTTTTCTCTCTCTACCATGTCAAATATTCGGTAAAAAGGAAACCACACACACAAATAATTAAGAATTTAGTTCAGAAATGACTTTAAAGTGTGCATAAATTATAACATATTATGACCTTTGCATAAATAATAACCTATCAGGATCTTTTCATACATTATTACCCATCATGCCCAAAGCCCTAACCAGCATAAAGAATCTAGCACATAAAAAACTGAAAAGTTGTTTCTTTCATTCTCCCACAGAAATTAAAGCTAAATAAAAATATTAAAAAAACTGACCATTTCCTTGTAAATCTTCTCTGCATCGAGAACTTTGTCTATCTGCAACACCCACATTTCTTTTTCGCCCAACTTAATCTTGAGCATCACCAAGTAGCTCCTCAGTGCTCTCGCCAACGCCTCGTCGTCTTGCACTTTTACCTTCATGGTCCAGTTCACCGCGTACTCCGAATGGTCCATGTAGAACAGGGTTGTGCCTCGAGCAAAAAGAACAGTATTTTGTTGTTTTTTTTTTAAAGTTACCAAGAACTTGAATCAAGTTTATACTATTTAACTTTTCCTGTACTGATTGTTCCCCTTGGTCAAATTACCCGCTTTGAGAACCACCCGTAGATCCTTATAGAGAAACGTTTAGCAAATCAAGTCATACGACAATTGAAAAACTCAACGGTTAAGTAGTTGACTGATCCCAGTGTGTTTCGGAGCCCATTACACACTCACCCAAGTCACATTAAATACAAAGACCAACAGCGCCAAGAGACTTAGCTCATTGTATCCTATTTCAATATGAAATTATTTCCCATGCTGAACAGCCGTTCAGAGACTAAGCGTTTTTATATACGCTCTCTCTCTCTCTCTCTCTCTCTCTCTCTCTCTCTCTCTCTCTCTCTCTCTCTCTCCCTCTCTCTCTCTCTCTCTCTCTCTCTCTCTCTCTCTCTCTCTCTACTCGCACTTCCATATTGTGGAGAGTTATTATTATTTTTTTTACTCAAGGGACATTTGAAGACTTTCTCGTGCAGTGTTCACCTGGTGAACGGCTGGGAAGGGGTGGGTAAGGGTGTGAGCGAGTTCCTAAATAATGGGTCAAGGGAGGCGGGTTGTCCCTCAAATGAACGTGGTTGACCGAGCCTGCGTCACGGATGTGTGAACAGGTGGGAGGATGAGCTCAGATCTACTGTTTTGGTTTTGTGCCTAGGTTTAAGAGTTAAGATACTTCAACCGGGATTTTGTAAGCATTCAATGTTTACTCGAGTGAATAACTCTACTTTTGTCAATTATTTAAATATTGCAATTGTACTACATAAAAGTTGGAAATAAATTATTTAAACAACTTTAAAAAAAAAGAAAGACTTTCTATCAAAGAAGAGTTAAAAGCACTAAAAGTTAGAAAATAATTTAAAGTTTCTAAAAATGCAATACCTAAACAAAGACTGCAGATGTGCAGATGATCACTATAAAGAGAAAGGAATCGATTTATATTTAGACCAAACTAAAATATGCTTTCTTCTATTTCAAAAATTTGGGAAAATATTCTCTGCACATACTTCTTTTGCGTATGTATTTAAGAAATTGTTATTAATTTTCTACGTTTTAGTGATTTTAAACTCGTCTTTGATAGAAAGTATTTTAAAAAAAAAACAATTTTATAAATATTTTTTAAAGTTTAATTTTTTTCACATTTTCCTGTGACATATTATGTTCAAACGTTTTACTTCCTAAATGCAATTATTGAAAACTTATTGGATACTAGTTGGAGAGCTCTAAATTTTGTCAAAGGAAGAAACAATTTTTTTTTAACGTCGGCGCATGTTGCAACCATTGCAAGGAAAGATATTTGGGATTGATTAGGAAATACATATTTGGGATTGAATTAGGAAAGACATATTTGGGATTGGATTAGGAAAGACATATTTGGGATTAGATTAGGAAAGACATATTTGGGATTGGATTAGGAAAGACATATTTGGGATTGTATTAGGAAAACATACTTGGGATTGGATTAGGAAAGACATATTTGGGATTGGATTAGGAAAGACATACTTGGGATTGAATTATGAAAGACATACTTGGGATTGAATTATGAAAGACATATTTGGGATTGGATTAGGAAGGACATATTTGGGATTGGATTTGGAAAGACATATTTGGGATGGGATAAGAAAGACATATTTGGGATTGGATTAGGAAAGACATATTTGGGATGGGATTAGGAAAGACATATTTGGGATTGTATTAGGAAAACTTATTTGGGATTGGATTAGGAAAGACATACTTGGGATTGAATTAGGAATGACATATTTGGGATTGGATTAGGAAGGACATATTTGGGATTGGATTTGGAAAGACATATTTGGGATTGAATTAGGAAAGACATATTTGGGATTGGATTAGGAAGGACATATTTGGGATTGGATTTGGAAAGACATATTTGGGATGGGATTAGGAAAGCTAGGAAAGACATATTAGTAGTGTAGTAGGGTCAAAATGCTTAGCATATTGGCGGGTGAAGGGCGGGTGAAGGACGGGTGAACCCGCCAAGGGGCATAACCCGATAATTACTGTCTTATAAAAGTGCCCTCCCTTTGTTGTCCGAGTGTAATTATAGTTGTATTGTTGTGCATGCCTATAATTATTGATTTGTAATTAGTTTGATTAATTTTTAAAACAAAGACAAAAGAGGTTTTTATAGAAATTTTATTATATTTTATGACAAGTGCATGATTCAACAGAATCATGATTGATTCAACAGAATCACAATTTTATTGTATATTTTTATTATGAGTGGTTCTCAAATTTCTATTGAGTGGTTCTCATTTTCTCTAATGAGTGGTTCTCATAGTGTTTTGGTTGTATAATTTCTTATATTTTTAATTAGTTTTCTTGTATATTTTAAGTGGTAATCACGATGTCGGGGTTGATTTTCTAATAAGTGGTACTCATTAGGTGTGACTCATAATGAGTTTTCTTCTAGTTATGGAATAATTCTGTTGTAACAGGATAAGTTTATTGAATTTTATTGATGAGTAAGCAAATATTTCTCATTTTCAGTAGGTTCTCAAAGTGTTTTGGTTGTATATTTTCTTGTATTTTAATTAGTTTTCTTGTCTATTTTAAGTGATTCTCAAAGTATGGGGGTCATTTTTGGTTGCATTTTAATAGGTTTTCTTATATTTTTAATTAGTTTTCTTGTATATTTAAAGGGTCAAGGGCGGGTCAGGGTCGATTTTCTAATAAGTGGTTCTCATTAGTTGTGACTCATAACGAGTTTTCTCCTCGTTATGGAATAATGCGGTTGTAACAAGATAACTTTATTGAATTTTATTGATGA